ATGCTTAAAGTTTTAATACAGCTTTCTTGCTTTAATTTTTTATCTAATTTTTTAAGACGGGCTAGATTCCACTTGTTACTGATGTAGTAATAACAAATTGAAGAAACAATATGATCTCGTATAAAGGAGTTAAGTTCCATAGTGAGATGAATGACTGCTCAAATTAGCATTCCTGAGCTTCTGTGTCCTTAAGTATAAAATGGAAGTAGCAGTGTGTACTTCCTCTAGCAGGACTAAGGCCTTGCACACATTTGGCAATCACTCTAACACTGAGCTACCTCCCTAGCCCCAGAAAGACTTCTTTAGTCCACTCAGTGCTTGCAAGACTTCTATAAAACAAACTCATAAAACCCACCTTCCTGTTTCCTAGGAAGTGTCATAACAAATGTTATTCTTCTGTCCTTACCAAGTTCATGGTCAGTTATTGTTGTAGTCCATGTAGGATATAAAAGTTGTCAAGGAAAAGATGCTATATTTGGCCTGATACAGCACAGTCCTGCTGTTTAACTGGTGCTCATAAGAGACAGGACTGAGAGGGAAGCACATCATAGTTTACATGCAGCATCTCACTTCTGGTGCATTATCTTTGGGTGATGCTTTCCCCGCTTTCATAGAAAAGGAGCAGCTTAGTAAATTTGGGAAATAGAAACTTCAAACTTCAGAGTTGGGGTGCCTGCCTGGCAAGCACAAGGTCCTGAGTTTGATCCCCGGTAACCCCCCTGCCAAAAAAGTCAAATATCAGTTCTATCCTTTGATTGTTAAGCTAATGCTGGGGGCAGGAGGGATTACTAAATGCATTTCATCAGGAAGTTTGAGTTTTACATTAGACCTACTGACTGGAGAAAGTCACAATGTTTAAAAAGGGAAAAAAGACATTTATCTTCAAAAGCAGCACAGTATGTAAGCCTGAGGAAAAGCAGTTTATTTTTCATGCTCAGAATAGTGTGCAGTATTTTTTTTCTCTTTTTACCATCCATTTAATGCTGACATTTTGATATTGTTATTTTATTCTTTATCTCATGTGGTATATCCAATAATGCTGATGTTGAAATATACCAAATATAATGTGTGTATTTATTGAGAGAAATCTAAACTATGATAGTAATATAGCCTTCCCAACCATAAACTTTTGTTTTTAAACTTTATATATTTTTCTTTTTTCTCAATGCACATACACATCTTGCATGTTGATCCTTTTTACTTCCCTTAACGCTCCCCTCCCTGTTGTCTCCCCCCACTTCCAGATCCCTTCTCATCTTTTCAAAAAAAAATCTCTTTGATTCATTGATCTTTGTGTTTGTCTCAATTTCATTAATTTTCACTTTGATCTTTGTAATTTCTTTCCTCCTGTGAGTTTCACATTTAGATTCTTTTTGTCTTTCCAGGACCTTGAGATGCATCATTAGATTACTTACTTGGATTCATTCTTTTCTTTTTATATGTACTTTGATATCTGTAAACTTCCCTCTGAGAAAATGCTTTCATTATGTCCCATTGGTTTTGGTGTGACAGTTATGAGCTTGAAATTCTTACAGGGGACCATTAAATAATAGCTGAGAATAAAACAGTATTTCTCTTGTGGTCTAATTCCTATATTCTTGGTAGGACTTTAGAAAGAAAAAGAGGCATCGACAGTTAAGGACTTTACATGTTGCCTTTTACAATTTTCACTGTGAAATAGGCATTATGATTTTTTTTTTTTCAGTTCTGGGATCAACCTAGACCCTTGTACATGCTCAGCAAGTACTCTAACCCCAATCCTCAATGCCCTTTCTTACACAAAATACGATTCAGAGAAATTAGGTAACTCAATTAAGGTCACATATTTAATAAGTGATGGAGTCAGAAATCAAATTCAGGTCTTGGGAGAGAAGCTAGAATTTTGTGCCATTTTTCCCCTTTTGTTTGTTTACATTTAAAACTCACCATCCTCTATCCTTTCAAGTGACTATAGCAGGAAAAATGTGGTAGGATGATTGTTCCCTCAGATTTTTTTCAGTGTCTGTTACATTCAAAACACATCTAATAAATTATTCTTCTAGTTTTGAAGGATTGAGGATAAAAGGATCATACAGCAGCTTCATCATGAAAACTCAATCATAAGGTTTCTCTTTTAAATGACTTTTTTTTTTCTTTTTTTTGCAAGGCAGGTGGCGGAACCACTAAGCTAAATCCCTGGCACCTTAAATGCCTTTTTTAAAGAAGAATTTGTAATGCTTATTTAGAGTAGTCAACAATGGAGACAGGACAGTGAATTTAAACCCATGTGGAGCTTTCTATTTTAGGTTCACTTCAAGAACATAATTTATGCACCTTAAGCATCTCTCTTTCTGCTGGGCCAGCAGGCTGTGTTCAAGCTGTGCATCTCCTCAAAGGAAGGACGTTCCTGTCCCCTTCCAGTAACTGTTGTTGCTCTTTTTTCTTCATACACACCCTTACCAAGAAATAGACACCATCTTACCCCTCAGAGAGCTAGAGAGCGTGTACTTACTTCACTGTGCCTTGTAGCTAGTTGTGCAGGTGTGCAAATGTGTCCATCTGCCCCAGCTCAGAGTTGAGCTTCCATAGGCAGGGACTTTTCTATTCCTCTTTACATCTTCCCAGGTAATATGTTTAAAGAAAAAGATGATTTGCTGAGACAAAGTTCATTCTTACAATGACTAGCTTGTCACCTATGTGAAAGTTACACATCTCATCATGGGACAGGAACAAAATTGTCTACAGTCTTATTTCAAAATATCTTGATTGCTGAGACTGCATCAAATCGGCACCCTGTACCTTATATGTATCTCATCAGATCTTTTCTGGAGTTTCCAATAAATAACTGTATGTTTTAATTGCCCCAGAAAGAATTATTTTACTCTAAAAACTGTATTATAGAGAAATTATTAATGCTGCCATGCTCTGTTCTTGCCATATTTTCAGGCACAAACTGTGGGACTCCCGGTGACCATGCATTCACCAAACATGAGAATGATGCGATCTACCCTCCTCCCACAGGCACCTAATGTGGAGGCCTTTTCATTTCCAGCATCCGGCTGTCACGCAGAAGCCGCATTTATGGAAGAAGAGTGTGTGGACACTCCAAAGGTACGGATGGATGTGTTTGAGAGACAGAGTTTGCGATGTGGCCAGTTCGATCCACAAGTTTTGTGCTATGACTTTGTTGAACTCTACTATTTCCTCAGGTCAGTCAGGAATGTTGTTTTTGTGGCAGAGAATTTAAGAAAAGGGCCCAGCACTAAACTCTCACCAACGCTTTATCATTACAACAATTTTGGAAATAACTTTTCAGGCCTTATATGTGCCTCTCAAAAGCCCTCTTCTTTCTCCTTTTTTAACTCTCTCCAAGTTTCTAGTCTCTCCCAAGTACTCGGGTTTGTCTTTTCTTTTATATATGAATTGTAACTTTGAAAACAAAAATGTTACATGTTGCACTAACTTGGACTTTGTATGTGTCATTATTGACTTCTGAGAATACTTGTAGGTACAAAATGATAGACTGTGTTTTTGTTCAACTAAATATCTTTTGTGTGTCCTATTTGGAAATGCTCGGAGTATTTTTTATTGTACTCCACAAAGTTGGCTTTTAGGATTATAGAAGATGACAGCTTCTCTCATTAAGTGGATACTTACTTACATCCTAGTATGTATTACATGTACTTAGCATCAAATATTACACAGAAGGGCCTCTCTGTGGGTAGCAGTGTCACAGAAGAATGTGGGTCTTGAGGTTTGCTGAAACTCTGCTCTCACTAAGCTGTGTGAACTTGAGCACGGCGACCACCCTCTGTGAACATCAGTCTTCTCTTGTATGAAATGAGAATACCAACTGTATGAGACTTGTCAGGATTAATTATAATGTATATGAGGTTAGGGGCAGATTTTAGATACTCCATATTTGTTTCCTGTCTTTTTATCCTCTCTAGGTACTAAAAAGATGAATCAGACACATACAGTGCCTCACAGTCTGCTAGACTATGATCTAGCAGAAGGAGAATTATACATAATTGAAGACAGAATGCTAGATGTAAAGTAAATTAATAACATAAAATATGATTGGTCCCATAAGGAGCCATAAATCAAACTGGGGCTAGGCATGGGGGGGGTGCATGGTTTCTACTGTTTGATCAGGAAGGTCTTACGGGGTAACTGTCAGAAAAGAGAATAGAAAAGTGGATAGAACTGAGGTAGTTGAAAACAGGTGAAGTCTTCAGTGGAGAGAAAAGCCTGAGCAAATTCAAACTTAAAGAAATTCTAGGTCCTTCTAAACCAGAGCAATTGTTCAGGTTGAAGAAAAAGGCAAATGAAGGGAAGGTGCATGAAACAGAGCCACATAGGTTACCTTTAAATGGCAAGTCAAGCAGTTTGGACTGTTCCCTGGTGGGTGCTGTCAACGTGGGCATGTTTAAATGTCAGCTGAAACAATTCAAGACCAACAGGTGTTAGGGTAGCAGGAGACAACTGAAGATTTTTCAACAAGGATGCACTGTATATGTGCTGTGCTTCAGAAAATTAGCCCTGGTGGTTCCCTAGCACATGCAGGATATGGGGCGACTGGGGACAAAGGTAATAGGAGGTTAGAGTGTGTGTTCCAAGATTTGGAGCCTAGATGATTGGGATAGTGTGTATCGTTTTCAGAAATAAGGAACTCTAGAGGTCAAGGAGATTCAGAAGTTAAATCATGAGTTTAGTGGGAGCACAGCCAGAACAGGCAGCCCGGCAGCTAGTGTTCAGCTAAGTTGCTGAATGAGAGTAGTAAGTGTCCAATGCCTTTCCAAGATGAATTCATTTCCTTTGGACAATCTGTTTTCTCTGCTGGGGATTACTTAGCATGTTCAGTAACCTTATAAATCACTGTTACATTCTTGCTCAGAAATTTAGACATAAAGGCAGCATAATTCATTTATTTTGAAGATCTAATTCTCTCAAGAAAATTAAAATGCAGTCTGCCAAAGTCTTCTATGTGAGGGCACCAGGCCCAAAACACAGATTGGGCACTGTCTGCTGTATTATATAGGGCAAACTATTTTTAAAGCTTGTGATTGTTACAGTAACTAGGAAACAGACAGGAAATGAATGATTTTGTGAAAGATACAGACAGTAGCTAGATGGTATATTTGCATTTGTAGGAAGAACAGTGCCATGCTGGAACTGGCCACCCACACTGACTATGCCACCCTGACACTTGGCCAGGTCATAAACATCCCCTGGTCTTATAATCATTTCATTTATGTCAGCAAAAATGCTTGTCTGTCTGTCTCCCTCTTTGTATGGGGCTTATAAGTAAATGCACACACAAAAACCCACTGAACTACAGTTCCTTTTGTTCATATTGCTTCATATACATTTATTATTAACACTCCTTTGTTTTTAAAAGATGTTTCATAGCTGCCTGTATTTCTAGTCTCACTTGTGCTATCAGTCATGGATAAGTATTATGTATTTCAAAAAGAGTTTACCTCTCCTTCGCTCCCAGAAGTTTTTTTGGGTTGCTTGTTTGTTTGTTTGTTTGGGGGGGGAGTTGGCACCGGGGATCAAACTCCTCGGGACCTTTTTCTTGCCAGGCAGGTGGCGGCACCACTGAGCTAAATCCCTGGCCCCCAGAAGTCCTTCATTCTTAAAACTGTCAGTAAAAATTCCATTGGAGATCAAAATTGAAACTTTGGTTTGAGACTTCTGTGTTTTAAAATAGTACCTTTCTGAGAAAGTCACCTTTCTCTTGATAAAATGTGGGTCTGAACAGTACCAGAGACCCAGGGTGACAGACCATATGGATGGATGGGCAGATGAATAAACACTGGAAAGTAAATCTTCCTTTTTTTGACTGCTTCTTTGTAAATAATTGATTTCTCTCTCTCTCTCTCTCTCTCTCTCTCTCTCTCTCTCTCTCTCACACACACACACACAATATTTTAACATTTTATTTGATTGTAATAAGAATTCTCCAAGTTAACATCTTCATAGCTGATGGCGAAAGAGAATTGTGACATTAATCTATGAAAATACAAAAGCAGTAGAAGTCTTTCATGCCTACTTACACTCGAATAATTTTTTATTATAAAAGTATATATATGAGAGAAGATCTGAAAGGAAATTTGTCAAACTCTAAGGCTTTGAGGGAGAAATCTCGTTATTTTCGTTCTTTTCTTTTTTCTGGTGGTACAGTCAGTGTAAGAATTGCGGGAGAATGCAAATGTTCGGTTCATAGTGTTCTGCCAGTCTCCTGTGCTAGGAGCTTCATTTGTGGTCAGCTCAGGGGCTTTAGTCAGTGAGTGCTGGCTGCTCTGAAGGTTTTGGCTCCTACCTGTGTATTGTGTATTACATATGAGGTCTCTTAGAAGTGATTGAGCTTTAAGGAAAGAAAAAACAATGTATTTGAAAGTATACATTTCACCTACATTGTATTTTTAAATTATATAATTTCTATCAGCCTAGATTATTTCCTAGAGCAAAAAGATCTTATTTCTGGAAGCTTAAATCACCTCTTAAGTCCGTGGGTAAATTGGCAGGCAAAGCTGGACTGATGATCAGCTGTTCAGGAAACCTGACCTTATGGCTGAAGGTGTTCACACCTGTTAACGGTGACCCAGCCCTGGGGGATTTCTTACTCATCATCAAACATAGCTTCTAGTCACAGTCTTCTAGCTGTCGCAGGATGAAAAGTGAGATCAACAAAAAAATCAGATCATTGTTTTCTATTTGTATCAGGATGAAATTGAATTCAGCAGACATTTTTTTAATGAAAGAATTCTTGATGAGATAAATTTATAAGGTGCAAATTTAAGTAAATGGTAAATCCAGAAGGGCTGGCATTGTGTTTGTAATGACTCAGAAAAAGGTGATTTTTCTTGTAAGGAAAAAAACAAGCTTATATGGTTTATATCACAAGAACTGTCTGTAATTTTGATGAAGCTGTGAAGATGCTCAGTAGATAATTAATAACATTCTTTTCTCTGTTGCTTTAGTCATTTCTAAATTATCCATGGCTAGTCTTTAGAAAATTGTAGCAATAGTTAAGAAGCCTAGAAGTATAAGTTCTCATCCATTTTTTCCAGCAAGAAAATAAGTAAGTACAGTCAAAGTGTTGTCTAGTAGTTCCTTTAGAAATGGCTCACCAATTAAAAGTATTCCTGGTCCTTGCCTTGAACAAAGAATTGGACAAGAAAGCCAAAAACTGTACCAAATATTTATCTCAAGTGAGGGGTAAACAGGTAAGCTCTGTATAGCTCTACCAGCTCTGTAGAGCGAACTTGGGCCAGACAGAATAAAAGTAAAAATAAAAATGCACTCTGCATTGGCTACCGTGAACAGTCACAGTAGCGGGCACCTCTCGTTGTCTCCTCTCTTTTATGTAGTTCACATCTCATGGGAACCCTCAAGAAGATTCACACAGGGGGTCCTGGGAATTATTTGACACCTTCCTGGGGTCTTGTAATTGACAGGTCCTGCTAATTTTTTCAGCCAGCTTTGCCACACGGTATCTCCTATATCAAAGGGGCAAAATTTATTGTGGAAGACCAAGGAGAAAATGAGAGTTACTGGCCAGGATTTTTTGTTTGTTTTGTTTTATTTTGTTTTGTTGTTTGAGGTGGGCTCACTTTGCAATTCAGGCTAGCCTTAAACTCACTATGGAGTTAGTGTAGGGTGACCTCAAACTTGCATCAATCCTATTTCCCCTGCCTTTTGAGTGCTGGGATTACAGGTGTGCACCACCACACCCAACCGCAGATTTTTGTTTTCTGATGCCACAGGGTGGAGACTGGTTCTATTCAGGGAAGAATACGTGTACCGCTCTTCCTTTGAAGTGGCTGTCCTCACTTTCAAACCTGTCATGCATCAGCCACCTTATCCAAGTCATGACTCTGGCCCCAGAACAGTTTTTAGAGAAATGAGCATCCCTCCCCCAAGCAAATAAAGATCTGAGTCACCCAACTTTCCCTCTCCAAATATCAAGCTCTGCAGCCTTCAAATGGTTGCCATAAGAGGCAGTTTTCCTGTGCCTGGCACAGGGATGTCCCACGTCACCTCTCACACAGCAGCTTCTCCCGCTTCCAGAGGAAACAGCTCTACCCAGTGTATTTCAGGTGAAAGTACTGCCTAGAACTGAGCATCTTATGCCAGCTGTTCCTGAGCAGCTATTCATGGGAGAAAACAGATTGATTTCCACAGGGGAATAGTTAAGGTAATGAGCTAAATAATTGCCTCCTCTTTGGAGCTTTTACCAGCCAGAAGAACTTGAAACCGCAACTCCCCTTTGTGTGGGGTTTCTGCCTGCCATGAGGTGGTTTGCTTGGCAGCTGCCTGAGAAGCAGTGCTCACATAGGAGCTGTGCTGAGCTCATCCCTGTGGGATAGGAACCGTAGCTGATGTGTGCACTGCTGGGACAGAGAGAATTCCATGCGCCAGGGCTTATTAACCTCTGCTGGAATTTTGGGCCTGTGAGTCATTTGTTATTTTGTAATGGAAGGCTTTGGCTGTTTGCCATTTGCATTTTTTTTTTTTTTTAGCTCTTCTTATGGTATCAGTCAATCTCTGAATTCTTAAGTTCCATTCCTTATGCACACAGAACCAAATAAAGACTAAATCAAATGGGCAGGTACTTAAATTATAAACATAGAAGTATGTCTGGAACCTTCCAATGTGTTTTGTGGTTGAAATTTTCAAGAATTCTGGTGACTACTATTGTCTCTTAGCTATGAGCCAATGTAATTGAGCAGAAAAAAAGTTTCATCTCCCCTCTTCATTTCTCTTATTTAAAAAAAATAACTGTACGTCTCAAGCTAATATACTGTTGTTCATCTGGAAAACACTCAAAATATTGTTTATTATAATAATGATGACTCAGAAAAGCCTGGGTGGCAGAACCAATTTGGGTCATCATGGGCATCTAAGAGCTGCAGCTGACTTGACTTCTAATCTGTGTTGCCATTAGATATTGAAAAGTACACTTTTAATATTTTACTAAGTTTTTATTTACTACTACAAGTCTTGGCATTTTTCTCTTTGTGGATTTTTCTGATTCTTAGCAGATAAGCACCTCATTGCATCATCTCACACCCATACCGTTTTTAGGTGAATGGCTGTCTGCTTGACCCTGTGCCTCCTGTCCTGGTGAGGAAGGGATGCCAGTCACTGCCCAGTAACATGATGGAGACCTCCATTGATGAAGGGCTAGAGACAGAAGGAGAAGCTGAAGAAGACCCCAGTCATGCCTTTGAGGTGTTTCAGTCCACGCGCAGTGGGCAGAGACGGCATACTCTATCAGAAGTGACCAACCAACTGGTCGTGGTGCCAGAAGCAGGTATGATATTGGAGAAGTGCCAGGTTAAATCTTCATAGCATCAGCCAGGCATGGTGGCAACCCTAGCACTCTGGAGACTGAGGCAGGAGGATCACCAAGAGTTGGAGGCCACCCTGGGCTATGTAGCAAGAACCTGTCTTTAAAAAGAAACCACCAGGGCCAGGGATTTTAGTATATGTGCTGCCGAAGTGAGCACAACAGGGCCAGGGATTTAGCTCAGTGGTTCCAGCACCTGCCTCACAAGCTCAAGGTCCCAAGTTTACTCCCCGGTACAAAAAAAAATTTTTTTTTTCGCAACATCATCTCATGCTCTAGTCACTAAGAAGTGGTAGTGATACCAGTTCCTGGAATTTAGCCTGTATCTTATTCAACAGCTAACAGAGATTAAAATGAAGTCTGAGTTGGCTCCCTCCCTCCTAGAATTCCTTGTGACACTGTGTGCTTCCTTGGGAACTCTGGCTTTTTTGAAGCAGAAGCAGCCAAGACCTTAAGGGTGCAATTTCTGGAGGGTTTTCCTCACTACATGTAAAGATAATTAAATTGACCTGAAAAGGATGAAGTTTGGGTTTTTGTTTTCCCCTGTGCTAGGGATTAAACCAAGGGCTTCACACATGCTAGGCAGGCACTCTACTTCTGAACTACTTCTCCAGCTCTGAAAAAGATGTTTTTGATTTTGGGTTTTGGGGTGAAGGTTTGTTGAGTCAGGATCTCACCATATTGTCCAAGCTGGTCTAAATTCTGGCCTGACACAAGCCTTCTGCCTCAGCCTGTCAAGCAGCTGGGACTATAGGTGTGCATCACTTGAAAGGATATTTTAATTGGAGATTAAGGATGTTGCTGCTATCAAGATTATAGCTCATTATGCTTTGTATCCTATGTTCAAAGATGATGCAATTGCTGTTTTTTTCTCTTAAAGGGAAAGTTTTCTCCATGAGTGACAACCCCTCCCTCGACAGTGTGGACTCTGAGTATGATATGGGGTCTGCTCAGAGGGAACTGAACTTCCTGGAAGACAACCCTTCCCTTAAGGATATTATGTTAGCCAATCAGCCCTCCCCCCGCATGACATCACCCTTCATAAGCCTAAGACCTACCAACCCAACCATGCAGGCTCTGAGCTCCCAGAAACGAGAAGTCCACAATAGGTCACCAGTGAGCTTCAGAGAAGGCCGCAGGGCATCAGATACCTCCCTCACCCAAGGTAAATGCTTTCTCCTCTCCCTTTTGGTAGTGGAGAAAAGGAAGGAGGAAAGAGGGTTACAGCCATGTTGGTGTGCACCTCATGTTTTACTTAAATTGTTTGGCCTTTGTACTTTCTCTCAGGAATTGTAGCATTTAGACAACATCTTCAGAACCTTGCTAGAACCAAAGGAATTCTGGAGTTGAACAAAGTGCAGTTGCTGTACGAACAAATTGGATCAGAAGCCGACCCTGCCTTGACATCAGCTTCCCCTCAGCTCCAAGACCTCACTAGCAGTTGCCCTCAGGTGGGTGCATGGGTCCTTCCTACCATGGCTGAGAGAGAGAGTGAAAAGCATGAGTTTTTCCAGAAAGTAAGTGGTCTGCATGTAGAGGACTTCCTCAAGTCCTGGACAAGCACCTATGGTCCACAGACTAAAAGATTTCCTGTTACTGCCGCTGACACTCAGGCCCAGCCGTGCTGCTCCAGGTGGTCAGTATTAGCTGGAAGCTTAAACACGTACACACTGGTGTTGGCTCACAGGGCTGACTGTGTATGTTTGACTCGTGTAGTCTCCTTTGATTCTTTCCCACGCACACACACAAATGAAGAGTGATAAACCAGCCACCCAAATGCGAATTTTCTTGACTCCTTTTAGTAAGTTACTTTTGATGTGCAGTCACTTTATTAAATATTATAATGGATTGTTCATACCAAAAATACAGTAAATATTGCTGTTTAGCCAATAAATATTGAGACTCTTCCATGCATCAAGGATATTTGTACTATCCACAGCCCACATGATGGTGATGGCCTCCTGGCAACACCAGAAACCTTTGTTCTAATCTTGACTGGGTAATTTTTGAGTACACATAATACATGTATAAATTCTCTACCAAGTAATTAACCTTTTATCTACTAGCTATATAAAAACTTTGAATATTAGGTCTTACAGAGTTGAGATTCCTCTTGGTCATTAGCAAAGGTGCTTAAACTAAGAACTGAAACTTTCTCACATGGAAAATTGAAAAATTGTTTTCACTCCCTTGCTTCTCAGGAAGAAGTTCCTCAGCCACAGGAAAGTGTCTCCACTCTCTCTAGCAGCGTGCATCCTCAACTTTCCCAAAGGCAAAGCCTGGAAACTCAGTATCTACAGCATAGGCTTCAGGTAGGGTCCTTCTTCTTAGTCCAGCTCACTTTGCACATCCAGAAATCTTCCGCTCTCAAAGAAGTCTGTGTTTCATGGTGTTTATTTAAGGTAGCTGCTCAACTCCTATACACAAGGAGGTCTCACTATGTATTTCTCAAAATATGTTCAGACTTAATCTTACGCTCTGTATTAGCCCTGGGAAAGGACTGGTCAGTGGGCCTTTGAAAGGATATGCCACTGAGAGAAAAGGGAGATCTGGCTTCCTTGTTTCTGATTTATCCTTCTTAAATGAATAATGGAATTTTTTTTTTGGTACCAGGGATTGAACTCGGGTTCTTGCACTTCGGAGGCAGACAGTGGCACCACTGAGCTAAATACCCAGCCTAATTTTTTTTTTTTCTTGGTACTGGTGATCGAACACAGGACCTTCTGCTTGCAAGGCAGGTGCCAGAACCACTGAGCTAAATCCCCGGCCCTGAATAATGGAAATCTTAAGTCCATAAAATGTTAACTTGAGCTATCTATGCTGGTGCATGAAAATCTTGAGAAAGATCCTATTAAGAAAAAACATTATTCTTTGAGCATGTGCTGAGACCAGCGCTATTAGGATTTAAGCCTGGTTTTCTCATTTTTAATTTCCATGAACTTCACAGTCCTAGAGGACTTTTAGAAGTAAAAAATGAGTAGATCAGAACTGAGAGTGACCCAGACAGCTGATCTAATGTCCTTCTGGGTTCTCAATGAGAAATTTTAGTTACTTCACCCTGTGTGGATTCTGGAGGACACCCCTGGATTCACCCTTCACACAGAGGCATATCTTATAACTGCATCCTGGGTGACAATATATTGTCATGTTTGTATTGTTTCTTTGCTCTTCCAGAAACCTAGCCTTCTATCAAAGGCCCAGAACACCTGTCAGCTTTATTGTAAAGAGCCTCCACGGAGCCTGGAACAGCAGCTACAGGAACACAGGTGAGAGGGAGTCTTTGGCCAATGAAGTTGCTTACTTTCACAGAACCCTTAAGAATGCTGGGTGTATTACCCTTTCCCATTCGTATTTGCCTCATCTGGGAACATAGGTGAATGTGCCATAATATTCAAAGTTCTCCAGCATGATTGTTAATGAGGCTTTTCTAGCACCCATGCTGTATGGGCTGTCAGGCAACAGCAGCCCCTGAATGTGCTTTTCCCTTGTCTTCTAGTCCTTAGTCCTCCGGGATATGACTAGACCTAAGCTTTCAGAGTCAGTGGCCTACAGCAGATAAAGTGGGTTAGAGTACTAAGAAGGCCTCCTCTCTTGCATTGTCCACGCCCACAAGCCTCACTAGAAAGAGCTTGGCCAGGGTAGGATTGTCCTAATCCATGAACCTCCAGGTACCCACAGAGGCCAATGCGTTGCCACCTCTTTGACCAATCCAAGTGAAAAAATCAGCCTTTTCCTTAATAAGGAAACAAACTCAGTAATATAGAGATAATGCATTTGTGCTCACTTAGCAATGAGGGGTCAATGAGAATTAGAGGACAGAAAGTGAAATTAGGTTTCAGAAACCCAACCTATCCCACCTATTTTCCCTTGTATGAGAAAGAGAAGTGGCAGCCTGGAGCTAATGCCTGGTATTAGATTTACATTAAAACTGTCATTACTTGAGATTTAAAACATTCTCCTTTGGTATTGCCAATGTAGGCTCCAGCAGAAGCGACTCTTCCTCCAGAAGCAGTCCCAGCTGCAGGCATATTTCAATCAGATGCAGATAGCTGAGAGCTCCTATCCTCCACCGAGTCAGCAGCTACCCCTACCCCACCAGGAGACTCCACCTTCATCTCAGCAGTCCCCACCTTTCAGCCTGACCCAGCCCCTGAGCCCCGTCCTGGAGCCTTCTTCTGAACAAATGCAATACAGCTCTTTCCTCAACCAATACGAGGAGATGCAGCTGCAGCCCCTGCCCTCCACACCCAGTCCCCGGGCACCTCCGCTGCCCACGCAGCTGCAGCAGCAGCCACCACCCCCACCACCTCCTCCACCACAACAGCCAGGAGCTGCTCCTGCCCCCTTACAGTTCTCCTATCAGACTTGTGAGCTGCCAAGTGCCACTTCCTCTGCACCAGACTATCCTGCTCCCTGTCAGTATCCCGTGGATGGAGCCCAGCAGAGCAATCTCACAGGCCCGGATTGCCCCAGGAGCTCAGGACTGCAGGAGACCCCCTCCAGCTATGACCCGCTACCCCTCTCTGAGTTACCAGGACTCTTTGATTGTGAAATGCTAGACGCTGTGGATCCACAACACAATGGGTATGTCCTGGTGAATTAATTTCAGCACAGGAAGTAAGGTGAATCTAGTGAAGGTGGACTGTATTTCTATTTTTATCCCAGCCTTTTAAATTTAAAGCTTATTTTCTTGTGTTCTCCCTAATGGGGAAAAATCAAGTCGCCCAACTGGAATCAGAGGGCAGAGCTGGGGTGGATGTGCTTCCTCCTGACTCTGCCCCACTCAAAGTTTTCTGTAGCAAGTGCTGGAACATAGTTGTAGGCTGAAGCTCATGCCCTTGGGTAAAATGGAGCAAGCTCTCCAGGGAGGCAGAAACAAATGTTTTTATAAGACAACATCCAGACCTAGGTTTTATGCAGAATTACATTTCATTATTGAGGAAAAGCTTGGTGAAAGCTGGACAGGTGTGTGCCATTGCATATATATCTGTATGGCAAAAACAAAAAGGCAGTATATTTTCACTGAAGCAAAGCAGCAACACTGCTTCAAGGCAAATCAAGAATTTGTAATGAAATGTAATGCACAGGAAATAAAGGAAAGTTGTACTTTGTCTTTGAATCATGAGTTCTATGCTGCTGATGCAAGTTGTCCCTGAGACTGTCACAAAGCTGTAGAGCATGAGCTCTTTCAGGGACCACTAACTAACAGCTGGTACTAGTCCCTGAAACCTTTGTTCATCTCTATCTGAGAGCAGGTAACACGCCTCTTCACAAGGTGCCCTTGGGTTACTGAGTGTCAGAATATACTCAGGGCTCCAAAGATGTCACCCGTAGATTTGACAGGAGACCCACCACAGTGGAAGCTGGGGGCAAGAAACTAGAGAAAGCATCAGGAGCACCAGCTCTGGGCCGGGAAGACAAGCTCTCCCTGCATGGTCTCTTGTGGAGACTTCGGGCCAGGGCAGTCCATCTCCAGAGGATGACCTCTTGTTTCTTCTGTAGTGTAGTAATTCCTTTGACTTTACGCTGTATGTTGCTAGTAGTTTATTGAGCTTTGTATATTTGAACAGTTTCATATAGGACTTAGAAATTTTAAGGACACAAAAAATGAACTCTCGTGTCTCATGTGAAGTGATAGTGCTGTGCCTTCTCCTAACCCAGTCACACTTTAATTCTTTCTTTTCTGTAGAAACCAGTTCTCCATTTATGTCAATGCTAAATCCAAAGTCACTTCAATTTGTTTTCCACCATGTGGGAATCAGCATTCTTAATTTCCTTAAAGTTTTGACTTGTAATGAAATGTTCAAGTATTAACAGCAATATTCAAAGAACCACAAATGTGTTAACCATTTAAGCAGACCGTCTGACAAACATGTTATATTACTAGAAAAACTTAACCCTTAACATTTGTCAAAGTAAGTGAAAATAGATGCTATGGCTAGTTAACTGTGTACCTAGAAATGATGAGTAACTTGTTATTTGGACAATGACATCCGGATGTTACAAATTCAGTATTATTTATAGAAACTAATTTCTGTCCTTTAGAGTGGCTTGTCCTATCAGCAGATGAATGCGTTAAGCACAAAGCGTCTTCCTTAAAGCACAAAGAAGAGAGCTACTACACTGATGCTGCATCTAGAAACACCTCTCAGTTGCCTTTCCTCTTTGTAGTCAGCACCGAGCAGGCGAGGGAAGCAGGGATGTCTGAGAGCCATCCTGGCCCAGCCCCTGTCAGTGCTGGGGACTCGAGCAGTGCTAGTGGCTGGCCAGAGTCTGCCTCAGCATTGGGCTCCCCTCCGAGGTTACCAGGTTCTTCACAGAGTCACTCTGCTTGGAGTTGGGCTCTGGGTGTCAGTAGGACAGGGTAGCCGGGGAGGGGGTTATCATTTTGGTGATTTAATAAGTAAAAATCCAGGAAAAATGACTTAAATTCCTTTTATGGGCTGTTTGTTCCTCCTCATGCTTAAGAGTGATGATTTTTTTTTCATCATTTAAGAGATCATTTCATTAAGATTTCTAATCTTAAGTCTCCACAAAAGAAGCCAGTTATAAAACAATATTTGATTCGTTCAGACTGAAGGAGGATATTTTCCCAAAATATACTACAGAAGCACTGTAATATTGATGAAGTTAAAATATCTTTGAGATTGAAAAAGGGGGCCACTCATTTCAGGACTGGAGGACTGGCACAGTGACAGATTGGCATAAACTCCTGCCCCCCAGTGGGGCCATGAGCACTTAGCCCAGGAGACCTAGCTGGGAGCTATGGCAGGACAGTTAGGTGCCAGATGAGGGATGATGGAGAGGCTGGTGGAACGTAGAAGGACCCATGAGAAGTTGGGAAGAATCAAGCAGCAGCCTGCCTGTCAGGCACCAACAAGCAGTGGTGTGGATGGTCACCCGATGAAGAGTACGACCCTTCCAGCTGGAACCTCTATTGTAAGCTCCTGTTTGCTTCTCTCACTTATCTCAAACAGAAACCATAAATTCCATAGCAATGTATATTTCCTGAAATGTAAGCTGGTGAGCAGAGACTGATTCTGTTGATCAGTGAGGTGTTTGCTGTCTGACTGCCTGTTACTCTATTCACTAACTAGTGACCCTTGGAGACTTCTGAGCAGTTTTCACTTCACAAATACAAAAGTAACACTACGAAGGTTAGGACCACTCTTTTGATGAGAGGCTTCTTTAAAATACTGACTTATTCACATCAGCAGTGTGTACACTACTGTATAATAATCATTAGCTTTATTATCTTGTCAACCAGGCTCCTCAGAAGAGACTTTGGTGAGATGAACGTGAGATAAAAATTTCATTTGGCTAAAAGTGCAATATATGTGGTACTTTTTTTAATTTTTTGATTTTTTTTTTTTTAATCCAGGGGTATCTCTTTGCTTGGGGAAAATGCACTAATTCTGCAATTTCCAGTTTGGCAAATGTGTCTCCTGTATTTACATGCAACTGAAATGCTGGTCCCTGTAAGGCAAATAAAGCACTTAGCACAGCATTCATTCCCAAGAGTGCCCCAATCCACTTTTGCCCTGACTAGGCTTGCACTGCCCTCTTCCTACCTTGGGAACAGGGAAGTGGATGGTTCCCCACACCAACAACTCTCCAGATTCCACTGAATGGGAGACGACATGCCTTAACCAGGAGGATTAGAGCTAGGACTGAAGGACTGTTAAGAGAACAAAACTCCTTCTTTGGTTCAGACTTTGCCTCCTGGAAGTCTTTCTTCCTCAGAAATTAAGACTTCCCCAGTGTTTAAACTGTGCCCTGGTGTCAGGGGTGTGGAAATGAAGTCGGCTCTCATGACCTGAGCCATGGGCAAAGCGGGGATACTGTGCAGTATCACCTCTGCCCTGCCCCAGCCCCTCAGATAACAAGGTAAACTCTCCCATCTCCTGTCATGCACTGGGGGTGTCACTATACCTAAGTCAGGAACACTCATAAGGACCTCTGCCCTGTTGTTAGACCTGGGGGAAAGGGCATTTGAGTCTAAGCTGGAGAGTGATTGGGTGGAAGGTGGTGGGAAATAGCAGCTTCCGGTAACAGGTGGTCAGAGTCCCAGGCGTGTCGGTGTCGGAACAGCCTCTGCTTACATGCACACAGGAACTGGGGACATAGTGCCTCCTTTGCCAGGTCCTCCAGTATCTAGGCAAGCCCCCGTTTCCCAATAAATTGGAATCGGTTTTTCTGCTTTGGATTACATTTACAAACCTATGTCAACAGTTACACTTAATTTCCACATTGGGTTAAAGAAAATCCATACTCCAGGTTAACTTTTTCACATTCCTCCTCTTTTAGAGACCCTTTCTAGTATCACTTGACAGCACTGGTCCCTGTAAACAGTTGGGGAATTTCTGGCTGGCACTGACCTTGGCTGCATTTGTGCCCCTATGCTGGGCTGGCTCTACTCTCTCCTTAGAAGCCACCCAAGCCTCTCGGTCTCTTTGTGCCTAGACATCAAAGGTAAAAACTGGAGAACAGGTAGTAAGTTAAAAGTAGTTATTTAGGCATGGGTCTTTGATCATTTTGTTGTTTCTGGGAACTTTTTCAGGACTCTTCAGAGTAATTTGTGAAAGACAGGGGAAGTGTCATCTGTCTATGCTTCTAAACTGGACAAAAACCATTTTTTTACATTTATATGTCCCTTTCCACAGGTACTGTCTGTGGCCCAAGCAAGTGACTGGTAACACAGAGCTTTGTTGGCCCTTGGAGATGGCAAAACCTGACTAAGGCAGTGCCTGTTAAGTCCTGTTTCAGCCCTAGAGCCTGATTTCCCAGTACCCCCTCACATACTTGTTTTACAATTTTTTTCACCAATTAAAGTAGTCTTGCCAGCTCTAGAAGACACCATCTCCGTCCACATCTTATCGGGCAGATTTCAACACGTTTGGCCCATGTAGACATCTGCTATTGCACAGATTGAGACAGTCAGCAGCACTGCCCAAGAGACTCAACCAGTAATAGTTTTGATGGTTTCCTGCCCAATTACTATTCAGCTTGCCTGTCTAAAAGGAGAAGTAGCTTCCATTTTTATGTTAACTTACGAAGCACTTTCATAAGTAATCTCTTTATAATCCTCACAATTCTGTGAAGGTAGGGAGAGGCACTGGCCTTGTTTTTCACAGCTGATGAAACCAAAGTTCTTGGGTTGTATATGTGACGTATCTGAGGTCACAGAGCTCACAGGCCAAACACTTGGGTTGATTGGCCTCTCAGGCTGTGAGAAGTCTCTTTCCTCAATAGCACCCGATTCTTTTCATAAGCAAACAGCTATGTAAAGCCTCCATTGTGGTCAAGCACTGGGTAAGTTTAACACTGTCTCCACAGCAACTGTCTCCACAGCTGCACTCTCCTCTTGACAGCTGTCTGGCTTTCAGGAAGAGGCCCTTCAGGTGACAAGGGCAGCCTTCCAGGTAGCCTGCATTGGACAAGGCTGAGGGAGACACTAACTCTAGACTGGCCATCCTCTCAGTGCTCAGTAAACCACAAAAGTTTAGGCTCATATCAGAGATGCCCATTGTTTCCCAAATGATACCGTTATTTCCTTGGGAAGTATATGATAGAAAGGCGGGTATGAACAGTCCAGCATCAGCCACCAATGCAGGTCAACAGATTCAAGCCCAAGGAAGGGGCTGCTCAAAGAAGAATCAGGAACTCAGCCTTGATCCAGAGGAGGATATAACATTTCCCTACAATTAAGTCCCATCAAGGAGTGCTTGCTAGATATGTTTAGGATTGAAGAAAAAGTAGTTAACATGCTTTTATTGAATACTTTGTCTTTTCAGAGTAAAAATGGGTACGCAGAAGGGTTGAAGGGGGATAAAAATAGAAGTACAAAATATCCTGGGAAATATGACCCCAGATGGAATAATGTTACATTAGCAAACAGATAACTAGGACTTGCTGCTGGCAGTGTGATGCCTTATCTGTTCAGGATTTGCTCAAAGAAATTCAAGTTGTAAGACCTTCCCATTACTGATGGTAAATCTGCCTTCCCCAAAATCTCTAGAGGGGAGAGCAGCAGAGAAAAGATTCACTTGTTTGGGAGCTGCAATTTAAGAAATAAAAAGCGACAGATGTTTGCACTTTGTAGAAAGGGCAAGATTATTTGCTTATTTCTGAAGGGAGAAGAGTGGTCTCGCTGGATGTTTGGTCTGTGATAAGATTAATCGTAGTTACTTTTGTGTGCTTTTTAAATTACTAAGAAAAATTGGTGAGTTCAATAGTTTTGTTATTTTGAATACAAATCATAATGGCTCTAATGTGAAAAAAAAATCAGTGTAACTTGTCAATGTTAGAAAATTGCCTAAAATGCAATTTAATAAATGATCTTTATACCAAACAGTAATTTTAATCGGGTAATTTTCTGCAAGGAAAATGTACTGTTTTTTATGTTTCCAACCCTCTTGAATTAAAATAAAAAAACTTGTTTTCTAAAAGTCTGGGTGATATGAATGTCAGGCTAGAGACAGGGCCTCTACCTCATTGGGCCTTGGCCAGAATTTTAAAGTGTAGAAGGTAGCTGTGTTCTGAGCTCTGGTGCACGTTTCAGGCTGCAGAAAAGGACAGTGGATAATATGTTCTCATTGACGTCAGCAGGGTAAATAATACCTTGCTCTGAATCGCCTGAGTACATGTTAGCCGCTGCAGATCGCTGACGGAAGCACGGCTGACCGCAGCCTACACATGGACAGGGCCCCACTGGGCTTAATTAATGCTCATTGGTCTTAAAGGTCTCGGGGCAAAGCCTGTCAGCCTCAGTAGTCTGGGCAAGGGCCTTCTGCCATGGTAGGAGGAAGGCAGGCTGTGCAGGAATCATGCGTGTCCAGGTTCCTCAAAACAGGCAAGCTGCAGAACAGGGTGAGATGGGGAGATGATGTGCTCACAGCTGTCAGAAAGGCCAGCTAAACACACTGCTGCTTAGTCAGGATGTTACCTCTTCTCCGGGGTCTGCCAAAGACACTGTGGGCAAAGCGTACACATACACCATGTACTTCTCACAGGTATCCTTTGAGACCCAACTTCCAAGCCCTCGGGGTGCTGGGAATCTGTTTGCCAAGCTGGTATTCATTTTGGACTCTTTGTAGTGCCAGATCTGATGAGCAAGATTAAATCCTGCTTTCTGGCAGTGAGTTCAACTGAGATTTTTGCTCAGACATTCCCATGAGCCCATGCCATGGAACTGAGACAGTTCCCAAACTGAGGAACCATCAGCTGGCTGGGTGGGCCTGCAGGACACATCTGGGCCTGCTGTGCAGGGCTGGGAGAGTGGAGCTGTTCCAAGATTCTGTACTGCAGCACTGTGGCACCACTCCTGCCTCCACATGGCTCTTACCCAATGGCTACCTAAGAATTCACTGTCACTGTGGTTTCTTCTCTCCCCCAGTAACTATGTTTTACAACCTTTCGTCTTTCCACCAAATCTCTCCATCATGTTAAATGTGTTTCCAAAATCAAGCACAGTGGCCCAGGGTACAGACAACACAACAGACTTGCCAGTGGACACCAGAGAGAAGCTCAGCATCCAATCAGATCCCTAACCCTCATACTTCTCGGAACATCCTTCACTTATGTGGCCTTTGAGACCAAAGGCTCTGTCGGGAGAAGGGAATCAAGGACAGAACAAGCCCACAATGCTCCATCAGCAAGCCAGGCCCCATTTGAACACACCCAAGGCTGTTCTTTGGAAGCTGCTCTTTTCTTCTCTCCTGTTCGTGTTTGAGAGATCACAGGTCCCTTTGACATGCTGAAACATCTTTGGACTCTTTGCCACAAAACACCTTCAAAGATGCATACGTGGAGTTTACAGTTTGCAGAAAAGAGTTGGTTCCTGGATACCCCGAGGGCCACCCATTGACAGAAGGTTAAGAACTCCTGACTAAGCCTTTATGCTCTTGAGTTCAAGGTCTGGCAGGGACCCTTTGTGTTGAGGGAGTTATCATCACACACACACACTCCCCCCACCCCATGAATCCAGATAAGGAAGAGCCGCCTCCTCTGTCTACAGCCCAACGCCATGGAGGCAGTTCTGGGCTGTGTGAACTGAGTCTTGAGTGCCACCGGGCTGCAAAGGAAATGTTACCTGCACGGACCATAGCTGTTCCACCCTGGGGGCTGATGAGAACAGAGCGCTGCCTCATTTTGGCTCCAGCCAGTGCCTTCAAAGGCTGAGGAGCTGTGGAGGGATAGAATACTGTGTGCAGTATAGGACAGTGTCTATGTGAGGAGACAGACATGGGCCTGGCTGAACTAAAAGGCTGGACCCTCACTTGTGGCTTAGAGCCATCACTGGCACTATCTCCACCAAGGCAGAATGAGGAGCTTGCTGTTTTGTTTGTACAGCCATTGGCCTATTTAGGGAGACTTGGTGACATCCCAACTCACCAATGGGGCTGAATTCCTCTACACCTACAGTTGCATGCGAATGCCCTTCGGCCACGTCAATGCCTCCCTTTGTGTGTCTGTGGGGCTTTCCTAAGGATGACTAATCAGACAGGCCTCATGTTGAAAAGGAGAGTTTCCAATCCTGAGTAAAACAGGCAAGGTGCCTGAAAGAGAAGAGGGAAGACAGTGCACATTAGGAGGGGGCTTCTTCTGGAGCCAAGCCCCAGAGCTGGCTGGGCAGAAAGTCCAGAAATGTTGGGAACAGAGAAAATGAGGCATTAGTGGTTCTGCCTCTTGCCTCGCATGTGCAAGGTCCTGAGTTCGATCCCCAGTACCAAGAAAAGAAAACGAGGCATTAGGGATGCAGCCTTTTGAAGGGAGATCTGAGTTATCTCTCTCCTCAGATAGCTTTGAAGTGTCTGACTCAGTCTTCCCCTCACTATTCCCCAAACATGGAATAATGAAGCCTGAGAGGCCCAAAAGAGGGCCTGAGTGAGAACTGTAACCCTAGGCTGCCACCAAGATGGTGATGGGATAGGACACAACCAAACTGAAAAAACCACCTACACCTTTCCTGCGTACACAATACAAAGGACCCTAAGTTCTTCAGTCTAGGACACAGTGCAAAGGACCTGTTTGTTCTCCATTCTGGGACCCACTGGAAGTACTTTAGTTCACCAGAGAAGCTCTGATTTTTTTCAACTGTATCTCCATCAACATTACTAAACTTTTATTAATCATTTTCACTTTTCTAATGTAGCAATGAAATGTCACTTAAACCTAAGGGATTTCATGTTTTTTTAAAAAAGCACCAAATCAACATGAAACATTTCAAGCCCACTATTAGAATGAGACTACACATAGTAGGGAGTTCTTATAGCAGCAGTGAGGGTCAGAAAAGCAGGCAGAAGGGGATCCCAGGGATGAAAGGCTCAGCAAGATGCAAAGTGGGGAAAGAACAGGACCTTGTTCGCCACCTCACCCCAGGGCAGCCACGCAACCAAAAAGGTACTCCAGGAAGGCTGGTGCAGCCCAGGAGGCTGACCAGGTTCTCAGCCACTGGCACCACTCCCAGCTCTGCCACTAACCAGGTAGATCATTGCTAAGGCTCATTTCCAACAGTAACAGGAAAACAGACTGGCTGACAATTCCAGGTTTATTGTAAGGTTTGACAGCCTGGCATGGTGTAAAAGAACCCAGACGACTCCAATAGCCTCCCCGCCATCTATCCTAGCACTAGACTAGAAAATATGCCAGTGAACTCTCTTCTCACAAATTTATAGGTAGTTACTTTATTCTAAATACTTACTCCATGTTAAGAACCAAGAAATTTGCTCTAGGATTTCTGAATTTTTGGAGATGAGTTCTGGGCAGCATCAACCATGAGCACCACAAACATAAGACCCTTTGAAAGGCCTTTTGCACCCAAATTTTTAGGTCAAGCTCCTGGTTGGAGAGTGGTTAGGATTCCTGGGGGTTTCTGTGCAGACAGCTCTCAGTCTCAAAGCCCCCACTTTGCGAAGGTATATGAAAGAGACTGAAGTCCAAAGAAAATGTTCCAACTGACCCTGTAACCAGCCTACTTCTAACCTCTTTGTGCCCTTTGGGATCCAAGTCCCTTAGCTGGAGGACCTGTAGAGATGAGATCAAACAGCCTGAGGCTTTGGTCTTTGCTGTCAGTCCTCTGGACTCAGGCCTCCTATAGTCTTCTGGGTTGAAGAAAATTAATCTTCTGGCCAAGGCAGACCCTGTACTCCTACCCTTCAGATATCCACAGCTGGGCCCCTCAGCATTGACCTTGATACCCTCAGGCAGCACCTGAGGCCACTAACCTGAGGGATGAGTCACATTCCTGAGCAGAGTGACTCCCACCTCAGGCTAACCAGCACTGCTCCTTTACCATCAGAGCAAAAGGGCCCCAGGCCCAAGTAACTGAATTTAGGGGAACACAGTAAACAGTAGGGAAGAAAAAAAAAAAGCAGTGGAACCAAGGGTAGATGGAGCAAGGGATGCAAGATGCCATCTTAACTGAGACAAGGGGGGTAGGGACTGGGTCCTGGTCAGTGTCTGTACAGGACAAACTGCAGACAGAAAAGAAAGAGGGTAGATTCTGTAAACCAGTGTCTGCAACCACTATTTATGGGTGCTTCACTTGATTTGAGTCTCCAAACCTGGGCTCCGCATGGAGACTAAAAGTCCCTCACAGCTGCTCCTTCCTGCAATAACAAGACTGACATCACTGTTGTCAGGGAAATGGTGTTTTGATTAAAATCATGTGACAGCTACTTGGTGATTCAATAAACAAAATCTCTTGTTAACCCTCGCCTGACAGGCCTATCAACAGCTCTGTTGTCAGACAGCAGCCTGCAGATCTTCCAAGAGTAGCTAGACTAACCTGTGGGTGGTAGTGTGTGGGAAATAGCCCTTTGCTCCCTGGCAGGTTATGCATGAGGGGGATACATGTAGTACACTGGGGCTCTCTGCAGGCTTCCAAAGTCCCTCCCCCAGGCACCCAGGAGGCTCATTCACCAAGAACTTGCTCTCGCCTTTCAGCTACTCTCTCCCAGAACAAGGGGCAGGCACAACTAGATGGGTCCCTCAGAGGTCTAAGGCTGACCAAGAATTAAAGACAGTTCCCAGGGCTCTCCACATTCGATCACTCACTGACTCCACCAGCTTGAGACTGCTGTGCAGCACAGACAGTGAGGAGTTAAGAACAATTTCGGATTTGCAATTGGATGACTTCCTGGATCACTCACTTGGCTGCTGGCCCTTCACACACAGGGCTCTGCCTGGCAACAGCCAATTCCCTTTCCATCTCACCCTCCGGTCATTTTCCTTAAGTGAAACAAATTCAGGGAAGGCTCCCTAATTTTTCTGGGATGAATGAACTTCAGACTCAAAGGCCTAACACAGCTGTTTCAGGACCACCTGACAGAGAGATGACATCTACTGCCCAGCTTGTGAGGATTCAGTGAGACTTGATAAAGGTGCTATAGTTGCTGAAGCTCAAAGAATGGCAGCTAGTGCAATCCTCAGCCTTCAAACTTGTTCAGGCTGAGTGAGTCAGGCGTGAAAAGAGGCGCCTCAATGATCAGCACTCAGATCAAACAGATACTGTGAACTTAACAGCACAGCCAGATGCTCCTGAAATTGCAGGAAAACAACTGCTTTCTTCCCTAAGAAGTCTGGGGGGAAGGGAAGGGGGAGGGAAAGGAGGCAGCTAGTGCAATCCTCAGCCTTCAAACTTGTTCAGGCTGAGTGAGTCAGGCGTGAAAAGAGGCGCCTCAATGATCAGCACTCAGATCAAACAGATACTGTGAACTTAACAGCACAGCCAGATGCTCCTGAAATTGCAGGAAAACAACTGCTTTCTTCCCTAAGAAGTCTGGGGGGAAGGGAAGGGGGAGGGAAAGGAGAGAGGAAAGCAAGCAAGCAAAAGTTGACTGGAAGAAAAAAATGTATGTATGCATAACTGGAAATTTTTACATATGTAGAAAGGGAGAGGAAAGAAAATAAAGTAGTTCTCCTTCAGCCAAGGTCTCTTCCCTAGGGCCAAGTTCTAGAAAGTAGACAAAAGAACACAAATAGCACCAGATGACCAATCCCCTCGGTGCTCCTATTCTGAATGTACTTTTAAGTCATAAAATGCCTTTCTTCTGAATGGCCTTGAGGCCATGGCCACCAACTCTGCTGAACTGGAACTCTTGTACCCCTTTTCTATGCAGTGTCATCAAATGGGGTTTGTGAAATACTCAGATTGGCTTACAGAAAAACTGCAGGCAAGATTTGTTATCTTGAAAGAAATGACAGAACTGTGCTGAATAACTTTAACAGAGAACAATTAGAAACAACCCATTTCTACAAGCAACTCTTCACTAGTCAGCCAGTCCTCTACATGGGCTTCACTGACTGGGAGAGGAGCGTGGATAGACTTTGGGTTGCAGGGACTGAGCTGTGGACAGCAAACCCCACTCATACCACAAAGCACTCGCAGAACGAAGGAAGCAAAAGAGAAGCTTTAAAAAGCTAACTCTCCTGGCTCTTAAAACCAGCTGTCTTCCCTGGACAGAGTAGGAAGTGCTGCCTCTGCCCATCTTGCTACAACTCCTTGTGACACCAGGCCACACTGACTGCCCTCAGCAGTGCGGGGGCTCTAGCCCCAGGTTTCTGGGGCTCTTACCTTCCCTGTGTCCTCTCCAGGCATTCCGGGTCTTATCAAGTGCTTGTCAGGCCCAGCACAATGCTCTTCACTGTCCTTCACAGGAAAATCGAGCATCCTCAGTCTTTGTGTCACCACTAGAGATATAGACAGCAGTGCTGTGACTGCATCTAACCAGGGCTTGTCCCTCTCTAACCCACCTGTGCTTCTCAGTCAGGATGCCCTCTGCTGCCCCACCTCAGGGATGGGAGCCCAGCAATCTACCAGAGCACAGGAGTACACAGAGAACCAAATCACTCCATGTCTTGACTAAAGGCTCCTTACCCTCAGGAGTCCTCAAAAGGACTACCCCATAGATGCCATTGGGTGCCAGCTTAGGGATTCCCCAAATGTTGGTCTCTAACAGCCTACAAAGCCCAGAACAAACTAAAGACCTGGCTCCTTTCAGAAATGATAACAGTTTAAGACAACTATTTTGTTTATTTTTGTTTGTTTTGTTCTGTTTTGGTTTTCTTTTTTTTTGGTACCGGGGATCGAACTTGGGTCCTTGTACTTGCGAGGCAGGCAGCAGAACCACTGAGCTAAATCCCTGGCCTAAGACAACTATTTTGGATGAAGCAGGGGACTTGGCATTTCTACCCAGTGAGTAATTATACTCTTCATCCTCCAGATTTCCATCTCAACTGAATATTATGTAATTTCCTGGAAACAGCAGCCCTGTGGAGGCAAATGGGGAATGGTGAAACTACTCTAGGTACACAAGTGGACTGCAGACGTGGGAGGGAATTGGGGAGAGGAGCACGGAACTGGATGCAAACGGAACACTAGAGAGCCAATGGAAAATAATCATAGAAGTTGACAGTCATGACATCTGTTAACCAAGAATACTAAGTGATAGGGCCTTCTCCTCTATGCTTTCATATCCATGCTTTAAGACTACCAAAAGAAAAAGAGAAGTATTTAAGGATTTTTTAAAAAGGAAGAAGGGACAAGCATCTAACTTATTTGACCACCCTGTCCTGTCACCTGTGGGAGGATGGAACCAATGTAATCTCAAAAGAAAAATAATAAGACGTTGAGCTCAGTGACAACACAGCAATAAATAAAGGAACAACACTGAAACAAGCAACCACTTGGTGAGAAATGGCGTGTGTTTCTCATGGAGGTCTGAGTGAGCATCTCGGATGCTTAGACAAGACAACTCAAATGTCAGGCTGCCGCCTTTGTTGAGTCAGAACAAGTTGTCCAGCAAAGAACCCCCCAGGCTCTGAGTCACAGTAGCCAAACTGGTTATTTCCGTGAGCTGAAGGGTGCCCTTTACTTCAATAAGGCCTCTTTTGATACCACACATTAATCTGTTATTCTTATAAAACAAGGCACATCTTCAGATTCGTATCTCCTTGGCAGCACTGAGAAACAAGATCTGATCTCTTAAGCCAATGAGGTTTAAACCCCACAGAAATGATAGAAAGAAACACTAAGGTGAATTCCATTACTGATGAAAACATTTTTATTGTCATACATTGTTATGTCTTAGGTTCACTTTCCTAATAAGCCAAACAACAGATATAAACTGGCTAGGATGAAAAAAAATGGCAATGTATGTTTGAGACAATCAGACAAATCCAAAAGGAACTGTTCCCTGAGCTGAAGGACTGGAAAAACCTTTAATTTGTGTCAATGAGAGAATCAGATAAGTCTGGTACTTTTGATGACTTCCATGCAGAACACATGACATGACAGATTTAAGAAATTCATTCATTGAACACATTTTTATTGAGCATCTGACACTGAACTAGGCACTAATATAGAAGACAAAACAAAACAAAAATTCTTGCCCTCGGAACTCATGAAGCTTATATTTAAGTGAAATCAAGATAGGAAAAACACTGAACTGGGTGTGGTGGTGCACACCTGTAATCTCAGCACTTTGGGAGGCTGAGGCAAGAGGAATGCAAGCTCAAGCCCAGCCTGGGCAACTTACTGAGACTTTGTCTTGAAATACAAAAATAAAGACTGGGAATGTAGCTCAGTGTTAAGGCCCTGGGTTCAATCACCGGTACTGAGGAAAAAAAAAGAAACAAAAAAACTAATCCGTGGACAAGCAGGCTGGTGCACTGCCTGCAGGCACGGTACTTGAGAAGGCTACGAAGAAAAATTTAATTACCTGAGCCCAAGCATCAGACCAGCCTGGGTAACATAGTGAAGCCATGTCTCAAAAAAAGGAAGAGGAAAAAAAATGGTTAAATTACGAACCAAAGAAAAATTCTTAACAATAACAAAAAGGATTTCCTATAGTTTATATCAGAAAGAAATAATGAAGTCCCTTAAAGGGTCACTGAAAAAGACAGAGACCCTGCTGAGTTCTATGGCCCATGATTGAGAAAGCAATGGCTGTGTCCCCTTAATAGGGCTGGAAGGTGAATACACAGGGCTCCCAATAGGGAGCAAAGAGAATTTTAAAACTCCATCCCCAAACCAAAGGCATCTCTAAACAAATAAAGCAGTGGTTTCAGTGCAAATTTCTTCCAAGGATAAAGGCAGCAGTCTCTCAGATATGAAATCCAAGAAGAGGAATACAACCTCCAGATAATTAAAAAAAACAAAAGCCATAAAACTAAATCTGTTTACAGCACAATTGTTTAGGATATTAAAATGAGATACAGGAAAGCTTTCCGCTTAAGAAAATATTTAATCCTTGGCCCAAGACAACATAAAATAGTAACTTAGTACAAGGTAACTTTGCAGTTTAAAATATAGGAAGAAAAAATATATACAGGAAGAAATTTTTATTTAAAATTTCTCTTCTGAAAAATGGAAACAAAGCTTTTGTATATAGGGAGAGGAGGTAGCTTGGGGGAAAATGGAATTATTAAAAATATAAATACAATAAAATTTTAAAATTTCTGTTTTCTTAAGGTAGGACAACTTCAAAGTAGTCAATTTGGTTGTATCCAACTGTTTAATGTACAAAGTTTTATAGGAGTATTCGGGCCTTCACAAAACTGAACAGGGCTGACTGGATTTCAAAGAGCTTGTGAATGAAATCAACAATTCAAAAACCAAAATGCAAACACCAAATTACACAGCAAGACGTAATGAGAGAAAAATGCAATAAAACCATATTAACTAAAAGTCATTAAAGACAAGGTGAATTTGATGACATGAAATGTGCATAAATTTATAAGAAAAAATATTTAAATTATTCACGCAATATAAATGTACATATTTCCAAGACAAAAAGTATATTGAATTTATCAACAAAGGTACAAGATTCCTTAGACATACATCTTCAAGGGCAGTGTGTGATACAATTAATGATTGGTAACTGCTATGTCAAAAGGTAAATGGGTGTTTTCTAAAGAGAGCACTGAACTGTAGTTCAGACCTCCTTACCTACTATTAATTTGCTTCAGCAAATCCTTTGCTTAAACCAGTATCTTAAATTTCAGAAAAAATTAATGAGATTTTACTGCAAAAGTAAAAAATCAAACATTTTAAGTAAGATTCCAGTATCACCTACACCAAAAAATTAGCAATGAAACATCAGTTTGGAAAAATATTGTGTAAGGTAGCAAGGATAAATGCTAACACTGCTGGAAGAAGAGTCAGGTAAAGAACAGGAAATGCACACAATATTATACCACTGGTTCCTATACTCATTCAAAAGAAAAAACTGCAGTCTTCTGCTTATTAGGAGGCATAAAAGTTAAAGTCTCTCAGGAGAAAAGAGAATATGTGAAGGCAGTCACAGTGTTAAATTTCAACATAACATGCTAGCTACAACATACATTCATACTTTTGGCTTCTCAATCACATGATTACAGTCACAACTGAGTAAATAAAATGAAGATAACCAATACATTAATCTTGAGCTTCCATGTTCCCAGGTCATGTGAGACACTAATGAAGACCATTCTAATCCAGGAAAATGGCTTTCACTACAGTGATTTCTCAATGTATCTCCCAAATAGAGTTTATAAAAATAAATTATTCTATGTACTTTTAATTTTGGGATGATGGCGAGGCATACAGATATATGTTAACAGTAAAAGAATCATTCCACTTCATTTATCAGTCCAAACCATCCAGGCTTATGTGGAATATTAAGCAGTTGGCACCTGACTGGACCCAACAGTGAGACTATAAGAGCCCAGATGGTGCTAGAAAAACATAGGGAGACAATCAAGAGACGACTGTACCAAGTATCAGGAATTGGTCCATAAGAATTACTTAAATAATTAAGCCAACAGAGATGAGTGAAAAAAAACAGTCCTGTTCCATCTTTAGAAAGAGTCATGTCACTGAAATTTTAAGTTGTTGCCATTTGCTTGGATGCGGTCTTGTAGGTTTCCTATTTTCTCTGCACCCCATGTTGAGAAAACACTGACTAGAAATCTGTGACAAGAGTTTAGTAAAGGCTTCTCCCTCATGTTCATTATGCCAATGCAAGCACTAGAAAATTCCAAACAAAATCAGGTTAGTCATCAGAAAATTCATGAATGATAAATCTACATGAACATTAAACATATAACAATAATCCAAATGCTTTTCATTATGATCAGTTTTTTTATTCTGCCAGACTAATCAACAGCTAAACTTTAAAAACTAAAGTCCAAAGTAAAACTGCTTTGCCAATAAGAATCATAGTCCTTCCCAGTCTTAGACATGGAACTGAAAAATGACTTTCGTCACATAGGACAGAGTGGTTGATCAAGTTTCTAACCACAGAGGAACCCCAACAATCCAGGAATTTATCACTCCCCATTTCCCCTCCCGCGTATCATCCTGACCCACTCTCCACTACTTCCACAACACAGATGAATCCCCTATTTAAAAAAGCTTCAAGAAAGAAACAAAAATACATACCACTTATAGCTTCCTGTGCGAAATATTTGACATCTATGTCTTCATCTTGACCTAATTTTTGTAATACTGGCTTAACTTCTCCCTGCAAAGCCCTAAAATTCAAAAGTATTATCTGTAAAAAGCAGTCTCATGTGCCACAAAAATCTCTTATGATACATATGATCTATGGTATTACCTGTAGGCTCTATGGTAACTTTTAAAGGTTAAAATAAAAAATATTTTAAAATACTTATACAATTGGCAAATACACTAAATAATTTCTAAAGACTTTAGCAAAATTAGCTTCAGACAATGATCTGCACATATACAGAGCTTAAATATTAAAGGGTGGACATCCTCAAAAATGGATGCTAAAATTTTAACCTATATTCCTGTAAAGTGAGAATCACTGAACTTAATTTTAGCTGTTACTCCCCCTGATAAGGTAAGTTCAAATTCACTTTTAAAACAAGAATAACACTAAAATCTTACTCAGTGTCCAGAAGAGGCCCAATTTTTTGAAGAGATTTGGCCACATTGAAACGAACATTTGCTACTTGGTCTCCTGCCATTTTTAATACGATGGGTAGCATTTGCTTAGTGGTTATTTCTTGACCACAGGCCTCAGACAGTGCCTATAAAAATAAATAAGATGGCACAGTTAAAATTCTGAAATCTAGCAAGACAAATTAATATTTAATAAGAAAGCAACTGAACAATAGGAAACTGTCTCTAGATTGAGCATCTAAATTTAGAGGTACACAGGCAGCATTCAAAAATCAGAGAATTAGTTCAGAATTCACAACTACATTGTAACTTTTAAAATATTACCAAAAATGTTAACATAAAATTTTAAATCAACATTTTTCTTATCTTCTATATTCCAAATTAATCAGCACAAAAATATATTCCAAACGGGAGACAGTATATCTCAGAATTCAGAAATTCACGTTTTAATGGCTGAGCTTATGAAATACTTACATTAATGCAGAACAAAGTGGTCATTCTATGCAAGTAATTAGGATCATTTGCCATTACCAACACTTTTGGAACTATGGTATTTTGAGCCCACTCTGTACCAAACTTCTGAACTAATTTCATGAGGTTGTTGGTGGCAGCTTCTCGGATAGCATACACTGCAGAAGAGTCAAGAACACATTTCCACGCTGTTTACTTCATAAGCACAACCTTAGTTGACTTTTATCAAAATAAAGCATGGACCAAACACATTCACAATACAATAACAAGAATGTGCAGCCACAGTCACAAGTTTTTATTAACAGTTCTATTTTTCTATTTTTTGGGGGGTTTTTTTGTTTTGTTTTTTTGTTTTTTTGTACTAGGGATCAAACTCAGGTCCCTGAGCTTGCAACGCAGGCACTGAAATCACTGAGCTAAATCCCTGGCCCCTGTTATTAACAGTTCTGAAATGCTTATTTACAAGGAGAAAGGATGCTGCGATTTCATTCTATATATCATTAACTAATAAATACAAGTACCTATTAGATTCTCTGTGTTACAGAAAGAATACATCAGATACTTGCCCTCAAAGGTCACATACTCAGGCTGGGGATGTAGCTCAGTGGTAGACCACTTGCCTAGTATACACAAGGCCCTGGATTCAACACTCAATAACAGAAAAAAAAATTCATAAGCTTTATGTACTCTCATCAGAGAAACAGAGAAATGAGACCTCAGGCACACCAAGTAGTGGACCAAGTATAATGAAGTATAGCACAGTGTAGAAGACTGTGAAAACTATACAAGTTTAAAGAATGAAGGGGACTCTGGGAAAGAGGCGTTGCACCTGGTGATAAAGATTGGAGAGGATCTGAGTTAAGTAAAGGGAAATGGAAGAATTACTGAAAAGGGAGGGGAAAAAAACGAATCTGGCACACAAAAGAAAAAAACTTGAATCTAGAAGGCCAGAGTTAGTTAGGGTGGGCCCAGACCACCAAGCACTTTAGAAGTTAAATTTAAGTAGGGTGTGGTGATACACACCTGTAACACCAGGACTCAGAGAGGCTGTGGCAGGAGATTCGCCATGAGTTTGAGACCAGCATAGTACACAGTGAGGCCAGCCTGAACTACACAGTGAGACCCTGTCTCAAAAAAAACCAAAAAAGTTAATTTAGACTTGATCGGAGGCATAACAAGTTTTTAAAAGCTAAGAGAAAGTTGTCAAGAAGATCCTGTGGTCATTTACCCACCAGCAAATAAAAACTTAGCACCAACTTGCTTCTTTTCCATTAAAAATGTTTAGGTTGAGACAAGATACCAAATGTCTTGTGTAAATAAATGTGATTCCCTTAATATCTAATAATTCCCTATAAAGCCACTTACCTAAGACATTGTAAATCTAGATCACAAAGGTCTGAGCTATCATCCTCACCATTAGTTGCTATATGCACCCGGGAACAAAGACAAACCTGGTGTTACATCATTTCACAGGTCTGGGAAGTCTCAAAACGTGGGGTTAGATAAGAAATCAAGGGTGGCAGGTATTAATGTCTTATTCTACGTCTTCTCCAAGCAGACCTAACCCTTAAGGATCTACAGAAACAGGTATCCAAGCCACAGCCCCGATCTTAGACAGAGGTGGCAAAGTTATGGCACATGTGCCACAGTGGGCTGTCTGTATCATAAAAGCTCTAAAAGGTTCACCATCACTGGTTTAGACTGCAACAAGCCTCCAGACAGGAAATACCCATCTCCTTTCAATCCACTGATGCTTCTTGGCAGTGACACTGAGGAAAACGGCAAAGATGCATAAATAAGCAACAGCATAATTTCTTACCAATACTTAAAAATGGTCAAAATCTCAAAGTAGCAACTCATTAAGATAACCCAGAAGCACTCTCTAAGGAGCAAACACAAGTCAACCATTTTACCAGAAGGACAGATTCTTTCCTATCACACAGTCTTTAAGCCCAACCCCCTTCCTGGCTCTTCCCTCTAAACTGGAACTATGACATCTGTGCTTTTCCTCTGTTTTTTAATACGCTTGAGATTCTTATCATCATAATACCTTTACCATAGAAAAGGATTCCCAATGCCAGAAAAACCAGCAACCCAGCACACACATGCTTAAGTCTTGACGACAACCTTAACTGCACTGAACTCTACTCGGCCAGATGTCTACTATCTTCTTGGCTCCTCTCAATTCTGTCAGAAAAATGCAAACCATTTCACAGTTCTGCTTGTTTTGTCTGTCTCTCTCCCGCACCACTCAAGGTCTGGCTGGTCTTTTAAGGTTTCTTTATATCTAACTCTATGCTCACCAACTTTGACTTTAATATATTTTAGCAGTCTATTAATCAAGGGAAAATGTTCACCAAAAAATTAGTGATCACAATGTAACACTTAAAAAATTCAAAAGCAACATTTTTCTTCAAATTATAAAACATAGCAAAAATCCTAAAATGCAAAAGCAAAACAAAAAATCCCTGATTTATTAATAGAATGACGTCAGAACAGCCATTTCGTTGGTTAAAAGAATGCTTATAGTCCATGTTTGGTATGCTGCTACATTAAAATGAGTCTTCTCAAACTGGAAGAAAACAATGAGAAAGTGAGAAAGCAGAAAATAAAGCTGCTTAGAGAGAACAATGCTACAAAGAATGGGGGTGAGGAATTTAATTCTTTGTGGTATATTAGAATTTTAAAAGTTCCTCAAAATAAATGATCTTAATTACTTATTAGTTTACCGCAAGCATCACTCGCAGTGTTTGTTTACCTACAGACCATCCCAAGTATCACTCAGGGAGGTGTCATTTCAACCAACTGATTCTGGTATTGAATAAATTTGATAAAATTGTCATTTTTATATTTCCTGTTATGTTACCTTATAAAAATTAAGAAAAAATATGCAATTTTTGGTCATCCTGTATTTCAATAATTGGAATAGTAAGAGGTTAATCCAGAATGCCAGCTTTCAAAGCAAGAACAAAATGATCTGCTGGGATATGCTATTCCCACTGAACAATATTTATATAATTACAGAATGATGTAAATGAAATAATGAAATAAACACTTTTTTAAAGAAAAGCGTAATTTCTTCTTATGACTAGCCAATTTTGTTTTATTTGAAAAAATAACTATTTTAAATAAATCTACATCCTTATTTTTAAAAACGAGATTACATTGAATCTGTAGATCATTTTGGGTAGTAAGGAAGAGATAATTTTTTTAAAATGGGGGGAGCTAAATAGTCTTCATGATCTACTTTGAAATATTGGAGAGCAGCCATCGCTCAAGCGCGGGGAAGGTAGGCCGGGCCCCAATCCACCGCGGGAAGGAGAACCATGCCTGCTCCCGACCCAGCAGCCATGGCTCAAGCGCCGGGAAGGTAGCCGCGCGGGCGCCCCTGAACCCCCATAAGCACCCTCCCCCGCACTCTCAGACCTCCTGACTGTGCAAGTCTTTGGACCCACTCTGCCAAGACAGAGGTGGTCATCAAGGGTATTTTTCTGAGTTCCCAACTTTGAACATCTTTAAAGAAAGGGCGTGGGAAACCTGTAATAGAACGTTGGGGAGTTCAACCATTCAGAAGGATGGGGAACTCAATCTGGGCCTTGCAGCCTGAAGTCAGTCAGCGTCAGGGGGTTCAGCAATCAGCTAACTGAGATCAGGGGTCTTGCATCCTCGCTCTGTCTGAGCCATTAAATGGTAAATATACTATATTGAAAAGTTTGTTCACTGCAGACATGCTCTGGACTGCTTCTTGATTTCAATTTAAAGGTCATGGTCAGTTCTGCTTTATCTTAATGTGTTGCTGATTGTATCAGTTGGGGTAAAGAATTGCCATTGATTTGATGAGCTGTTTTCTCTGATGTTATGAAGATGAGAATGTCTGTGAGTCGTTAGAGACACAGAAGCTAGGGTGCAACTGTATCAGGAAGATTTGGGTGATAATCCACAGATTAAACCAAGGACAGTCCGCCAACAAAAATTAAAATGAGAAAACACTTAAGCAAGACACAAATTGATGAGCTTGTCTCTGATGTTATGAAGATGAGAATGTCTGTGAGTCGTTAGAGACACAGAAGCTAGGGTGCAACTGTATCAGGAAGATTTGGGTGATAATCCACAGATTAAACCAAGGACAGTCCGCCAACAAAAATTTTAATGAGAAAACACTTAAGCAAGACACAAGGACAGACTTCCAGTTCACCAATGGCAAACAGTAGGGCAAATGAGGATGAAAAGGCCGATAGTGAACCACCAGGACACCCTGAACTCAAAGCACAGGAAGTAACAAAACAGATCAATCAGGCTCTAGAAAAATTCAAAACAGAAATAATTTCCCGGATAACCATAGAGATAGTGAGCAAAATGGAAGTGGTGATTCGAGACTCTAGAGCAGAAACTGACAAAAAAATAGATGAGCTCAGGACCATGATAGAAGCCATGAAGGCCCAGCATAAGAAAGAAATGGAAAAAATAAACGCCCAACATAGGAAAGAAATGGAATCCATAAAACAGATTCAAACAGATATCCAGGAGATTAAACACTCTATTGAAAGTGTATGCAACAGAATAAAAGAATG